AAACAAACAAGCCCCCACCCACCACCCAGGCTGTTACAACACGAAACAACAACGGACACCAATCAGCACCAATCTACCAATCATGGTACAACCACACAGCCTATCAATCCACTTACTGAAACAAAGCCAGCACTCCACACACCCCAAGATTTATAGAAAGACGGCAGCTCCAACCACGCTTTAAGCTGAAAACAACAGCCTGAAGAGGGCGAGTGAGACCTCGCCGAAACATTGCCAATACAATCTCAATCTTACACAGGAAAAGACCCGAATACAACAAGACCAGCATGCTTACACCCGTGAAAATCTACAAAGACACACAGACATATATATATTTGTAGATTTTTTGTAGATTTGTTTCGTAGATATGTTTTCATAGATTTACTGAAACAAAGCCAGCACTCCACACACCCCCACCAAGATTTATAGAAAGACGGCAGCTCCGACCACGCTTTAAGCCGAAAACATCAGCCTGAAGATGGCGAGTGAGACCTTGCCGAAACGTTGCCAAGACAATCTCAATCTTACAGAGGAAAGGACCCGAATATAACAAGACCAGCACACACTCACACACACACACATTTTTTATTTAAAATACAAATAATACAAACATATTATATATATAAATCTAAATACAAAAAAGGGGAAAAACAAATATTACAGTGCACACTCCACCCCTAGACCATTTTCCCCCTTATATTTCTTCTTCAATAACAACTAAAAAATATACATTTCAATTGTGCCTTTATCCTCTCCAAAAAAACATATATTCTTGAGTAGGATTATTCCCTTTGCCTTCCACCAACACTGGTTTTATAAAATCCCCCCATATGTTATTATAACTGTTTACTTTAATAATTCCTTTTTTAAATTTAATTTCTGTTGTTAATTTATGATTCGTTGCCATACTTCAAATTTCATTATACCACCCATTTCTTTGAATATCCCACTTTCGCCAATATTTAGCCATCACTAATCTAGCTGCCATTATCAAATTTACAATCAATTCCTTTTTTTTGTAAATCAAACAAAAAAGGAGACCGCTGTTCTAAGCAATGCCCATGTAACATCTCTAGATGGCCGAATCAACATCCCTCATTTACATCAAAACAAAGCAGCAACCACTAACATTTGAATGCCTCAACCTATTTGCAGCCAAAAGAATGATAAACAAGAAAACAGAGACACACCAAGAAATTATTCTCCTCCAGATGTCTTCATAAATAGTTTGCTGAAGGGTTAATTCGCCAACTGTCCTTGATTCCCAGAAAATTCAATTAAAACTTCAATTAGAAATTCTCCAAAGGAATGGCAGTGCAACAGATGCTGCCAGAAAAGGAGGAAAGAAATATTAGAAGAATATGTAACACGTTAATAAGGTGGCAATATTGCTAATCAAGCATCCACGAAGACATCAAAGGTCATTGTGGCTCTCCGTACTAGGAAAAAGTCCACAGTAGTTATCAAAGAATGGAGAGGTGGAAGGATCAAAGAAGAAAGAGAGGGAGGAAGAAAGTTTTGTGGATTTGTCCAATGGATTTTTAAGATAGATAGATAGATAGATAGATAGATAGATAGATAGATAGATAGATAGATAGATAGATAGATAGATAGATAGATAGATAGATAGATA